ACGTCTGGTTTACCTGCCACGCCACCCAGTTTACAGGCGGGGAGGCTGAGGCGCCGGAAACAACCTGCACAGTGCTATTCGGCGTGCGAGTCCCGAAGGAACCTGACTGACCGGCTACACCGACCAGAACCTTCCACGACCTCGTCCTTCGAGGGCACTGCTTTTAAAAAGCAGCCGAAAGGCGAACTGAGCGTGCCGGCCTCCTGTTTTTCCAGGTGCTGTTTTATTAGATTGAAAAACAAACCGTAAGATGTTTTCTCCACTTCTAGATAAACTGTAGCTTTTAAGACTAACACGTGGCTGTAATCTGAGGTGCTGGCTTTACAAAAACACCACCAGAAAAAGAACCCTCCCAGCTCCCATCTTGATATATTCGGGGTGACGCTGCGAGGGGCGGTGGCCGTTGCCACTGGTTCCGAGCCCGATCTCAGGGCCGGCTCGCTGGCCCTCGGAATGCTCTGAAGTTGAACGGGACGTCCGCCCGCCATTGTCACAGCCGGCCCATTAGGCTTCCTTATCCTCTCGGTTTTGTCTGGGAGCTGCTGTGGCCTCCTTCCCGTCTGCCACGCTGTTCGATGCCTCGGTCTCTGGTTTCATTGGCTTCTTTTTCCATTTGTTTGAGAGTCAAAGCAGTTCTCGGTTCTCTCCCTATTGATTTCTCATAATACCCGAGTTATCTTATTTTTCTCAAGAAAAAGAAGATGAAAGAAAAAGAAAATGGAGGGGAAAAAAAAAAAAACACGGGTGTGTCTAAAACCAACATTCCCAGTGCTCAGGGACATTCGTCACTTCGTTTTAGTGGCACCCGTGTCTCACTTTTCCTTACACCGCCTCCTATGTTAGTTGTTCCCACCAGGCGGCTGCCAGGCCAGGGTCCCCTCTCCCTCCAGGCGGCCTCAGCGTGGTGCTGACGGAGCATCGAGTCGCTTACGGAACCACGTTAGACGTGCGACCGGCCCCCTTAAAGCCCCAAGTGTGCGCCTGCGTGTGCGGGGACATCGGGTAGAACGTGCTCAGCTCACCCAGTCACAGCGTGGCCTCTCCCTGCACAGCAGCTCCAGTTACTAGAAAGTTCTTCCTGACCCAGATCTGTCTGCCTGCCATGTCCTGTCTTTCACTCTGGTTCCGCCCCAGAAAAACGTGGACACACACCCCACAAAAACACACGCACACACCCCACATGAATGGCTTGAAATCTGACTCTGGTCACGTCTGGTCCAGCTCGTTTCTCGATCTCTCTGTTCAGTGTAGACCGGTGGGGGCTGAATACAATCTCCCTTTTCTCTTTCTGAATGTTCCACACGTTAATAACACAATTATTAAAGTAAGGTACAACAGGTGCACAAATTTATGGCAACACAGAAGAGTAAAAATCTAATAAAGGTCACTTTTGGTTTCAATATCAAGAGACAGTCACCACGATACCATTTATGTGACATTTCTCCAGATTTTTACGGGGCTTTTTGTATTTGTTTTGTTTAATTTGGTGTAGGTTTTATCGCTTGTTTTTCAAATGACGTCCTTTTTTTTGAATGGCTTGAAATCTGACAGACGGCTTCGTTCTGGGAAGGTCGTCACCCTTTTCTCCCTGAAAGCCACCAGGTCACCGCCCCCACACCCTTGGAAGTGGCTTCCAGGTGGCTGGCTAGCTAGCCTGGCTGCTGACCACAGCACCAGCTCCTTCTCCCTCGTGGCCCCAGCCTCCAGAGTGCGGGTCACACCTGGGAGCGGCTGGTGTGGGCAGAGCGTGTCCAGCAGAGCTCCATGTCACTGCCCCCAATTCTTCTTGCCTCTGTAAATGACGTCATATCTTTCCTGGAAACACACCCTTACCCTCCTTCAGGCTGGATGGTAGGTGGCAAAGTGTCCCAAACATCGCCCACCTCTTCTCCCAGTCGCCTGAGTGCTGTCCCACACGGAGCCGGAGGCGGGGGTCGCCCTGTGGACTCCGTCCGGGACATGGCCATCGCCCCAGCCCCTACTTGTGAACAGCCGGTGCCGGCCACGCCCCCTACGCACGGTGCTGCACGGTGCTGCTTCTGCTCGCCGTAGCGACGGCAGTGACAACTGCAGACCCAGAGCGCCCAGGCCGCACAGACCGCTCCCACCCGCCCCCAGCCTACCTTCCGCATTGAGGTGCATGGTTTCCAGGGGTCCCAGGAAGGCATACCGCAGGCCCAGGCCGTGGGACATGACGAGGTCCAGGTCGCCGGGAGACACTACGCCCTCCTACAGGGAGAGAGGGGCACACGTGATGGGCCGTCTGCAATGGCCAGTGACCGCGACGCCCACCCTGACCGCAGCCGGCCACCGTGCTGCCCCACGCCCTGTGAGGATGCTCGTTGAACTTTGCACGGCAAAACTGTAACATGTGAACGGACCCTGAGACCCAGGACCGAGTCGGTGGTTCCACAGCTGCAGCGGTGGCCCAGAAGGGCTGCCCTCCCCCCGTCCTGGGCCCACCTCCGAGGCTTCCCTCCGCAGCCCCGACCCCTCTCAGTGGGACCTCGGGGCAGGCAGGGCGGTGAGGGGAGAGGAGGAGGAACGGGCATGGCGGAAGCAGAAGGGTTTTCCACACTTGCTAACAGCTGGTGGGCGGGAGGCTGGAGACCTCGCTCGAACTGCGGGCTTGCTCTCCAGGCTGTGCCGCCTGCAAGCCTGGCCTTGTCCAGCTTTTAATGAGTTCGTAAAGAATGATATTCTTTGATGAAACACAGCTTAGAACTGGGCGTTTGTTTGCAAAGGTGGGGCCCTGGAATCTTCTGCAAATGCGAGGTGCAAAGCAAGAGGCGAGCCCTGGTGTGTTTGGGGTGAGTGCCAGGTTGGCCGGCCCTCCACCTTCCGGAAGGAGCAGGGAAGCCTCAGATACACGGGCACGCCGGGCCCCCATGACGGCCACTGACCCCTGAGGTGGTCATGTCAGCTGTCAGGACTACAGACGTGGGGTGCGTCCCTCCCCCTAAGTCTCCACTGGTCAGACTGGCATGGTCACTGCCATGGACGGCTCCCGCCCCTGCTTCCTTCCCGCATCCTTCACAAACAGAGCGCCGTGGGGTGCAGACGGCG